GGGATAGTAAGACAGGTCGGAGAAGGCAATGTCTCGGGCTGCATTGAAGGTGGTGTGGGGGTTAGTGAATTCGCTTATGCGTAAGAAGCCCATTTTCATGTAGGATGCAGCGGAGGAGAGAAGGTGAAGAGACGGAGGGACTAGGCCGGGGCGAGGGATTCCGTGCAGGGGATCTGGCATGGCGATGGATAGGCAGAAGGGCAGAGGCGTCAGAACTCCTGGAATTTAAAGCGAGAGAGAGAGTCAGCAATACAGTTAGGTGACGAGGGACGTGACAAGCAGTGATGATAAATTGTTCGAGACTGAGCGCCATGTGATGCGTCTAAGGAGGGTGTGATTTGTGGAGAGGATGAACGACTTCTGTTAATTATTTCAATGGCGTCGAGGTTGTCGCACGTCACGGAAATCCTTTTCCTATGCCGCGTATGGTTCCGCAGCACGCAGGCTCCGGTCACGGGATATATCTCGTGGAGCGCGGAGGAGATGCTTCGAGGGAAAGCGTCGGGCCGGGGCCCGGCGAGCCACTGGTCCTGGAAAACCCCCAAAACCCACGGACGGGGCTGCGTCCGTGAAGAACCGCGGGGCATCTGAGACAGGATGATGTCACTGTAAAAAAAAAAGAGATACACCATCCCAGCGGCTCTGCAACAGGACCGGAACGCCAGGTCGGAGCAGCGCCCCGCGTCCGGGCAGACGCGTCATCGAGGGAGGAGACGGAGCCGGCGAGGGAAGGAGTCTGGAATTAAAAGAACGACCTTGGGGAACGATACAGACGGCATAAAGAAGATGCCCGAGGAGGGAGAGCAAGGACGCCTCGAAGTGACGGGAAGGCCGGGGCAGACCGGGAGAAAGCGCGGATGCGTTCGAGCTTGTCCAGCAGGAGGGAGGCCTCCATGGCGCGTGTGTCGAGGCGGATGCCGAGAAACTCCAGAGCGTTGGCGGGGCCTGTGGGCTTTCCGGAGTGGAGGAATCCGAGGGCAGAGAAGGCGAGCCTGAGCCTAAATTGGGTGTCACCACTGAGCTCCGCATTGAGCGTGCTCACCGAACACCTGCGGCGTTTCAAGGACAGTATCCTCGTCCCCGCTCAATAGTGGTGCGTTTCCAGAGTTACATCACAAAACAACAAGTGCTGAAGGCTGCGTGGACAAAGAAAATTGTTCAGATGGATGAGACGAGAATCTACTTTGATGAAGACTTTAGTCCAGTGGTCTTCAAAGAACGCGGAAAGTATAGGGATGTGCGTAAAATGCTCCGAGAAAGGAATATAAGACATCACATCCTCTTTCCAGCCAAATTGAAAATATTCTGCGAGAATGGTAAGGCCAAAGTGTTCGACAACCCGGCAGCTGCCGCGGAGGGCCTGCGTGAATATGGCATTGAGATGACCTTACCGGCAGAGGATCCAGATCTGGACTCATTGCTCCGCGCAACGGGCTGGCAAACACCTGGTTCCCACAAGCGGAGAACCCCTGAGACTGAGACTATGAATGCAATGAAAGTTTTACTGGGGAATAAAAAATGAACGGAATAATGGACACAGTTGATCATCGTGGCAAACAACGTGGATTGGACATAATGAATGACACGCATGATGCGTACAAGGTACGAATTCATATTATTTTCACTCCTCCCAAACTTTCCGCTGGCAAAGGTTTGTGCTGCAGCGCTGGGTGGTTGGAGATATTTTCGTTAGTGATTAATGATGACTGAACAATTAAGATATCCAACTCTGGGATCAAATGACAATTCACTTTCCACTAAAATACACAACTTTGAAGCGGACTTTGATCCGGATAGGAATATATTTGATTTTAGTTCTTTTTCCTGTAATTATTATAGTAAAGACGATCTTAAGTTAAACCCAGAAACGGGGAGCTCATTTTCTTTGGTACACTTCAATTGTAGAAGCTTATATGCAAACATAAATAAAATTGAAGAGTATATGAATACGCTGGAAACTCAGTTTAATGTCATTGCCTTTTCTGAGACATGGTTAAACACGGAAAGGGGAGTGGATATAGGAATAAATGGTTATAATTTTTATCACGTCGATAGACCAGGGAAAAGAGGTGGCGGTGTCGCATTGTGCATTGATCAGTCACTCAAATGTAAAATACTGGAACGTTTGTCTGTTGCGATTGAAGGCCTAATGGAATGCATAGCAGTGGAAATAGAATTAGAAAATAAAGAAAATATTACTATAGTCTGTGTCTACAGAGCACAAGGCTCTAAAATTGAGGAATTTAAAGAGAAGTTTTCTGAATTATGTGACTTTAATGCAACAAACAAAACAAAGCTGATATGTGGTGATTTTAACATTGATTTTCTAAATCCACATCAAAGTACAACCACAGAAGACTTCATCAACGAAATGCACAGTCGATGTCTGTTTCCAGTAATAACCCAACCCACCAGAGTCACATGCACGGCTGCCACTCTAATTGATAATATTTTTTTTAGTGACATTGATAGCGTCCTTCTTAGCGGTATACTTGTAACGGACCTCAGTGACCACTTGCCCATTTTTATTGTTTGTGGACTAAAAACGACTAAACAGAATAAAAGTGTTTCTGTGAAACCTAAATACATACGAAGAAGAACGGAGGAGGAATTAAACTCATTTAGAAATGACCTGTGTATCCAAGATTGGGGAGGAGTGTATGTGCCAGATGTGAATGAGACCTACCAAGAATTTTTAAACACTTTTATAACACTCTATAATAAAAACTGTCCACTAAAGTTATGCAAAAATAGAACTGCATTTGAGAATAAACCATGGATAACCCCGGGGCTACAGAGGTCATGTCAAAAGAAAAACAAAATGTATAGAAACTTTCTGAAATACAGAACTCAAATTCTTAATAATAAATATAAAGCGTATAAAAACAAATTAACAATCATACTGCGTTGGGCTAAAAAAGACTATTACAAAAACAAATTGGAAGAGAATAAGAATAATACAAAAGAAACCTGGAAAATTTTGAATAAAGTAATGCGGCCAAATGCCCAATCAAAGAAACTACCAGAATACTTTATACATAATGATAAACACATAAACAATGACATTGATGCAGCTAATGAGTTTAATTCCTTCTTTGTAAATGTGGGAGCCAATATTGCAAGCAGTTCAGACAATCCCAAGCAAGTTATTACCAACTGCAGGTCAGAGAGTGGAGGGAGTAGAATTCTACACTCAATGTACCTCAATGCAATAACAGAAAATGACATCTTTAACATTGTTAAAAAATGCAATAATAAGACCTCAGTGGATTGTGACGGCCTGGACATGATCATAGTAAAGAAGACCATCGACTGTGTCCTCACTCCTCTGACCTACATCTTCAACCTTTCTTTCAGCACTGGCATTTTCCCTCAGAAAATAAAAACTGCTAAAATAATACCCTTATTTAAAGATGGCGATAATCATTTATTAAATAACTACAGACCAGTGTCATTATTATCTCAGTTTTCCAAAATCATAGAAAAATGGTTCACACAGAAATTTGATGCATTTTTAGAGAGAAATAATTTACTTTTTGAACACCAGTACAGATTCAGATCAAACAGATCAACTTCTCTTGCACTCATTCATCTAACAGATGAAATATTGGCAGCTATTGACAAAAAGCAATACTTGGTTAGTATTTTTTTAGATCTACAGAAAGCTTTTGACACGGTGGATCATAAACTATTGTTAACAAAACTAAATAATTATGGCATAAGAGGCCAGATCCATAAATGGCTGGAAAGCTATCTAACTAACAGACAGCAATATGTTCGAATAAATGGCAGTAACTCTGACTGTAAAACAATCATATCTGGGATTCCTCAAGGTTCCATAATTGGCCCAAAACTTTTTATTTTATTCATTAATGATATTCATGAAATTACCAAAAACATGGACTTTCTTTTATTTGCAGATGACACCACCGTTTGCAAAGCTGGAAATGATTTAGACGCATTAATAACAGACATGGAAGTTGAAATGACACAACTAAAAACATGGTTTGATAGCAATTATTTATATCTAAATTGGAAAAAAACTAAATGTATGATTTTTGGAACTACTGTAGAAAACATTCAGAACAGAAAGAAATTATTATCGGAAATACAACTATTGAAAATGTTTCAGAAATAAAATTTTTGGGTGTCAAGTTAGACAATAAACTTAATTGGAAAAGTCACATTAACTATATAAATAATAAAATTAGTAAATCCATTGGTATTTTATATAAGGTTAAACATATATTTGATGAGAAAGCATTGTTCAGGATTTATACATCTATAATTGTGCCATATTTTCTGTATTGTATTGAGGTCTGGGGCAATGCTTGCCCCAGACCCACGACCTTCCGGCCCAAAAGCCAATGCTCTTCCAACTGAGCTACTGTCACCCAAAATGATTGCAAGGGTCTGAAGGATCATTTGTTCACACAAAGATTGTGGAATGTCATGGCTAACCGTAGTCCACGGCGCTGTCTATAATAGCGTATTTAAGTGACCCCCCCCTCTTCTTTTTTTTTAACTCTGCCACGGTCAACCACTGGTCAAACGATCACCCATTTACATCCCTACTACGCTGTCTATGTCATTTGTTTCTCTTTCAACTTTTACCCTTTCTACTCGCTTTATTGTAACAAGGGTAAAATGACACTGCTGTGATTACTGACCAACCTATAAGGCGCAGTGTTGGTTAACTTTCATATATACCACAAACAAATGAACAGCAATTGAGAATAAAAGAAAGAGGAAACCCAACTGGACAGAGGAACAGTGTTTGCTTCTGACTCAAATGATCAATGAGCATGTGTGTTTTGAGAGGTAAATTTGGCCCCACTGTCACAGTGCAAAACAATAGGCAAACTCTTAAGAAATCTCACCTTACGAGCTCTCTTACAAGCTAGGATTCTTTAAGAATAGCTTTTTTATTAACTAGAATCTACTTTTCACTTTTAGGGGAAATTCTAATCCTAGTCCTAATTCCTACCTCTCTCTGGCAGTTCTGTGGCTGGGTGGACGCAGTCATCCTGGTCTTCAGTCTGGAGAATGAACCCAGTTTTCAGGAGCTTTACTCTCTATATGCTCAGCTCAGCTCGGCGCGCACAGACCTGCCTATCATCGTGGTCGGGACACAGGGTAAGACAAAACACACTCATGTACACTCACAGCTAACATACTTACACTCCCCCTGGCTCCTTGGATCACAAGCACTCTTTTCACTCACTCTAAATCTGCAATGTGTGAATGATTTGGCAATGGTGCAAAAAATCTGCAGTCTGAGTACCATGCTTCTCAGTGTGTCTGCTGGCGTGAATTATGGCTATACAAAAATACATTTATTTGAAATTCAAAATTAACATTATGGATCTGTCTTATTTTACAGTGGTATGAAAGGTTTGAGCACTTCTTCCATTTTTTATACTTTTCCTTGAAATAGTGGAGTGCAGAATAGTGGAACGAGGCACTCTGACTGTTCTCATCATCCTCTACCTAACTGAGGTTTTTTTGGTTTGCCACTTGCGGCCTTAACTAGAACTGTACCTGTGGTCTTCCAATTCCTTGCAATGTTCCTCACAGTTAAAACTGTAAACTTAAATCTCTGTGATAGCTTTTTGTATATTCCCCCTAAACCATGATGTTGAATTAAATGTAAAAAAGTTCATTTTTTCTTCTCATGTTTAAGGCTTTGAAGGTGCTTTTAATAAGACAAGAAAGTAAACAAAGCTTGTACTGCTTAATTACCTGACATGTTTCGGCAGTGCACTTCCGCCTTCATCAGAGGTGACACGTGATGGTGTGAAGCATCTCTTATCAGCTGTTGTTGCTGGATGCAGTCAGTCTGACAGATCTCACAGATCCCTCAGACTGGCCGTGTCCAGGGAAAGAAGGCAGACCTTAGTAACACAGTAACAGGTATACTCAAAGCAGCAAAACTACCACACAGCAACATATCAAAAGAAGAAAGAAGGGCTGTCATTTCACTCACCATGGACAAACACATTACAATAATACAGGAGGACAAGGGAAGAACCACGGTGGTTATGGACACACAGGACTACAAGGAAAAAATGAACTCACTATTAAGCAACACGAACACATACGAAACATTAAAAGATAACCCCACAGAGGGAAAGAAACGGAAACTGAAGTCAAAACTCAAACCTCTAGCAGACGCAGGAAAAATAACCATACAAGTGTAAATTTCTCCTTTGTGAGATCAATAAAGTATATGTTGTCTTAAAAAAAAAAAGAAGAAGAAGCATACAACCATTTTATTCCCACAGCCAATATCACCCCTCGTATGTATGGCACACCAAAAATACATAAAGAAAACATACCTCTCTGCCCCATAGTAGACGGCACAGGATCAGTCACGTACAACCTATCAAAAGCACTGTTGAAATAATAAAACCTCTCATAGCAAAGGAAGGTTTCTCACCCATCATCTGTACTTCTTAGCAAGTTTTCCCGACGTTTCGTCCTCAACCTAGCGGACTTCTTCAGGGAAACTTTCCCTGAAGAAGTCCGCTAGGTTGAGGACGAAACGTCGGGATAACTTGCTAAGAAGTACAGATGATGGGTGAGAAACCTTCCTTTGCTTTGACTAATCCCTGTACGACTGAGGGCTTACACAAAACCTCTCATTGGCAACACTTACCACCACTGCAAAAACTAAAAGGAACTGGCTCAGGAACTCAAAAACATATCAATTGAACTGGACGAGACACACATATCACATGACGTCATATCCTTTTTTACTAAGACACGCGTTCACTATCCGCATTGTACAGGAAAGACTTAAGAAGGACTGGACACTCAAGAAACGCACAAACCTCACAGCTACAGACATAACACAACTTTTTAATTTCATCGCCAAGTCCACTTTCTTCCAATACAAGGACACACTATACAGACAGAAGGAGGGCTTTGCCATGGGGGATCCACTATCTGCAATAATGAGAATTTTTATCATGGAGGATTTAGAGGAGAGAGTCACAATACAGCACTACAGAATCAGAATCCTTTTATTGCCATGTGAGTAACAGGAAGTCACAAACTAGGAAATTGCTGTGGCTCTCGGCGCAAACAAGTTAAAGCAGAATAAAATCAAAGGCATGCATAAATAAAAATCAACATACATTTCTACAGTTTACTATATACAAGTGCACTAGGTGCACACAATAGACCCTTAATAGTGAGGTAGAGTCCATTAAAGTGACAGTAGCATAAAATGATTGTCATAAGGGCAGAGGTTTATGAAGTGTTCATGAGTCCAACAGCAGAGAGGAAGAAACTGTTCTTATGGCGGGAGGTTCTGGTCCTGATGGACCGTAGTCTCCTGCCCTAGTGGAGTGGTTGGAATAGTCCATGTGCAGGGTGAGAGGGGTCAGCAGTGATGCGACCGGCCCGCCCGCGAGCTTGGGCGACGTACAGGTCCTGCATCGATGGGAGGCTGCGGCCGATCACCTTCTCTGCAGAGCGAACGATGCGCTGTGGTCTCTGCTTGTCCCTGACGGTGGCTCCAGCGAACCACACGGTGATGGAGGAGGTGAGGATGGACTCGATGATGGCCGTGTAGAACTGCACCAACATCTGTGCAGGCAGCTTGCCTTTCCTGAGCTGCCGCGGGAAGTACATCCTCTACTGGGCCTTCTTGATGAGGGCGCTGATGGTCGGCTCCCACGTGATGGTGGTGCCCAGGAAGCTAAATTACTCCACAGAGGTGATGGGGGAGTCCATCAGGGAGGGCGAGGGCTGTGCTCTTTCTGAAATACACAATCATCTCCAATGTCTTCTGGGCGTTCAGCTCCAGATTGTTACCACTGCACCAGGACACCAGCCGGTCCACCTCCCTCCTGTAGGTGGACTCATCATTGATGGAGATGAGTCCAATGAGGGTGGTGTCGTCCGCGAACTTGATGACCTTCACGGAGTCGTAGCTGGAGATTGTTGTATATTTAATATTTGACCATTTGAACATCATAGCCAGAAAGACCTCTGTGCACTCAGGAAAAACCCCAAGGACACAGGATAATCAGACATGAGTCATAAAGATGAAATGCTGTTTAAACAGGGCGAATTATTAACTTTAAATAATAAACATTTTGACGAGGACAAAAGTTCAGAACCTGATCTTGAGGCAGACTGGGAGATTCACCAACTGCATTCTGACGCCTCCCAGTGGATAGGGGACGTCAGCACACCCGGAAACCTCCACCCTTGGACGCATAAGGATGACGTCATCGGAAGTCTCCCTCATGAGCCCGTGTGTGTGTGTTTTTTGAGGTCAGACAGGACAGGGCACGGACAGGGAAAGACCAGGCAGAGAATAGGAGCACTTCTGTTGAACATTCTGTATCTGATTGTAAAGATAATTAAATGCAGATGTTAAACTTGAATATCGTTTGCCTTACTTCTGCATCCATTTTGAAACACGTTAGTCAAAGGGAATTATTGACTACAAGATGCAGTGGTTGGTGTACAGGGAGAAGAGCAGGGGAGAAAGAACACAGCCCTATGGGGCTCCTATATTTATAATCCTAGAGTCCGATACATTCTTCCCCAGAGGCACTCGCTGCTTCCTCTCTGTCAAGAAGTCAGTGATCCACCTGCAGGTGGAATCAGTCACCTTGAGCTGGGAGAGCTTGTCCTGGAGCAGGGATGGCAGGAGGGTGTTGAAGGCAGAGCTGAAGTCCACGAACAGAACCCTGGCGTGGGTCCCCGGGGAGTCCAGATGCTGTAGGATGGAGTGGAGGGCCAGATTTATGGCGTCGTCTACAGATCTATGGGCTCTGTAGGCGAACTGCAGGGACTTGAGATGAGAGAGACTTCATGTCAGTGCCACAGGTCTGTAGTCATTAAGTCCAGTGATCCGGGTCTTCTTTGGGACAGGGACAATGATAACCTGGCCATAGCCATCCGTACACTCCGCTCAATCATCATTTCACTGCATGTAACGTCTGGGTCTGGTCCCTGTGTTAGTAAGTACAATCGGTCGTATTTCAACCGGCTACTCAGAGAGCGCGGAAGGCGGGTGTTGTAGGTCGGTGCCGGTGACGTCAAGAGTTTGCGCCGAACGGGCAGGTTGTAGTTTGGCAGTGGCGAAGAATGCGATAGTAAAGTAATCCGGTCTGGTTCTATCAAGAAATTGAAGCAGGAGCAAGAGGAATGTTTAGCAAATGTAATCGCTGGTCAAGATTGTGGCGCTACTCCCCACGGACTCCGTTAGCGGCAAAGGAGATGGCTAGGCTAAATGCTAACAACACACTCGGGCGCTCTACATTCGTCACGGTAAACTCAGATCCAATGGTTTCAATATGCAAAAGGAGTTACCCCTTCCACCTGTTCACGGAGCTCAATGGAGCAAATCCAGACCTTAGAAATGTAATTTGTACTAAGGTGTAATACAACCAGGCTAGGACAATGATGGAGAATTTGAAATAGGCTGGGACATGGCAAGACTCCAGAGAGGTGTTTAAAATGTCAGTAAAGACAGGAGTAGGCTCACTGGCGCAGTGAGTGGCAGGTGAGACATGGTCTGGACCAACACTATGGAAACGATACATAGACGACATTATAGAAAAAGTATAAACAGGACACACACGAGAAGAACTCACAGATCACCTCAACAGCATAGACACAACCGGACACCTACAGTTCACACACGAGGAGGAGAGGTAGGGCTGCATACCATTTCTGTACTTAAAAATTCACCAGCAACAGGATGGCAGCATCAAGACAACAGTATAGGAAACCAGCACACACCAATCAACAATCGATATTTACTCTGGACTTCAGAACACCCTATCTCACACAAACTATCCGTTGTCAGAACACTATGTGATTGCCTCAATAACATCACAGAGAAGGAAGACAGGATAAAAGAAGGACACATAATTCAAGCACTTAAGGCTTTTCAATATCCTAGATGGGCACTACAGAAAGGAAGACAACAGGTTCTCAACAAACAGATCACACAAAAACAGAGAAGAAAGCAACCACACAAACACAACGAACACAAAGAGATGGTCACTATACCATATGTACGAGGGGTCATGGAGCAAATATGGAGAGCACTCAGAAAACACAACATCAATGTAATAATCAAACCTCATAAGAATCTCAGACAAATCCTTGTTCACCCAAAAGACAGGATTCATCCGGAAAAAAGTGCAATGTCATATACAAAATACCATGTAGAACCTGCAATAAAACATACATCGGAGAAACACTAAGAGCTTTCAGCACCAGAAGAAATGAACATCAAAAGGAATGCAAAAAAGAAACGGCAGTGTGACTAACAAGATCAACAAAGAGAGAAGGCATCACAGGAAAACCTCAAATCGGCAAGATCAGACCACTGCAAAAGAGAAAATCACATAATGGACTGGGACAAAGAAAAAATAGTAGGAACAGAAGAACATTATACAAAAGATGGATACGAGAGGCGTTTGAAATCAGGAAGATTTCAATCGGGAGACGAGGGGGCTTTCACCTTGGCTCACACTTGGGATTCTCTTCTCCAGAGACCACAATGCGGCGAGGGACGCGGCCAGTCTTAGGGATCTGTGAGATCTGTCAGACTGACCGCATCCGGCAACAGGATTTTACTTCTTTTACATAGGAAAACAAGAGCACCCAAAGGAACACATGGGACAAGCAAGAAAGGCCATGTTCTGCCTTGGATACGAGACACTTCTCTTTCTGAGTAGCGAGGGTGCTAACCACTCAGCCACTTTTTTACCTTTTATTTTCATGACTGTTTTCCCACTTCTGTAAAGTCATACACTTCTGTTTTAATTTTATCAACAGAATACCACAAATGCCAATGTGTAGAATTTTTTTTTGGGATATAATCCTGTTATTGCTTAATGTCTATTGAATAAATTAAATTTTAAAAAGAGAAGGGACTATTTATGATTGTTTAAGGGGATTACGATTTTGTTTTGAATGATAACATAACAGTTGATATCAGTCAATATATTGAACATTACAGTATGCATTATGTGCACACATCCCACCTCTGCGTGTGAACCGGTGTGCGCTCTGACGGGGCCGTTTTCTGGCTGTCAGGTAGATTTGGGCAGATTCTAATATTATGGAGTGCGAACAATTCAATAGAAAATAAAAGCTGGAAAGTTTTTGTTCCGAGCTTCAGAAGAAGCATCATGATCAGAAAGGCTTATCCTGGCGGGCATGTTCACTTACACATGAGGGAGGGAATGATGAAGACTTTTGGTGTCTATTGCTGCTTAGTATGATCTCACCTCCAACTCTTCCCTGTCAGACATAAACATGTATGATTCACAATTTCATGTTTATTGATGTTGAAAGAAGATTTGCCACTTTTTCTTTTATAAATTATCTTATTGGACTTTCTTGTGAAAGTCTAACACAAAGTGACAAACAGCAAAATTATACAAGATTTCAATATTTCGAATACATAAATAAAACCTAAATGGTCTGGCTTGTGGAAACGCCTTTTCCTACAATTACAAATTCCAGTCTACGTCTCTGATTAGCTTTCATCTAATGTGAAAGTGTGCTGTTTTTAAGACCAGTTGTCAGTCCTGATTAAAAGTGTACTTGTGCGTGTGTTTCAGATAAGATCAGCAGCTGTAATCCTCGTGTGATCGAGGACCAGCGAGCGCGACAGCTCTGTATCGATGTGCGACACTCTCTGTTCTACGAGACCTGCGCGACCTATGGCTTCAATGTGGAACGTGTCTTTGCCGAAGGTACCCTCAACTTGTACTGTCTTGAAGATTCAAGAATTTATTTGCCACTTGCAGTAAAACCTTATTGGAAAAACTGTGCAAGACTCCTAAATCATAGTTTAGGTGGACTTCTCTTCTCTGTCGTCTGCACTCAATGAAGGCGGAAGAGAAGAGAATTCCTCCTTAACTATGATTGTTCATGCTGAACAATTTGCAGCAGTTCGAGCCTTTTTCTCACCCTCTGACACATTCTTCAAATTATAATTGTGACTGCACATACTGCACCTATATATTCTACCAACCAGTGTTTGAGATTCCCGTCAATATTTAGGGGGGTCCCTGATTTTCTTTTCACGCACACACTACTGCCCTTCCAAGATTTGATGGGAGTAGGAGTTTCCACCGCTGCTAGCACAAGGAGAGCACAAGGAGAGCCTACTGGCTCCAAAGAAGTCCATAATTTTCAGTTACTGGACAGACTTGAAAAGAAAATAGCGAGAGATCTTCATCTGTCAACGTCAACAGCTGAGGAGATCTTGCACACTTTAGAGAACCGTTCGGAAACAAGATTCAGATTCAGTTTATTTGCCATTTGCAGTAAAAACACCACATTGGAATACATTAGCAAAAAGTCTCCAGTGTGCACAGACAAATACAGACATAAAACAATATTAAAAGACAGAAATAAAACAAATAAAACAGTAAACAAATGTCACTGTGAAATCGATCGACTAAAACAGTTTCAAAACAAGTGCAAATCATTAAAGTGCTCTGTTCACACTGATAACAGCTTGTGGATAAAAACTTTTAGCGTAACGAGATGTCCTGCATCTCGGAGAGGGATATCTTCTGCCAGAGGGAAGAAGCTGGAACATGGCTTTTCCAGGGTGGCCAGAAGAGTCGTTAACAATCCTAAGAGCTTTGTTTAAAAGTGTGGATTTATAAAGAACCTCCAGAACAGGAAGCTCACAGCCCACAGTCCTCTTTGCAGAGCGGAGCACCTTGTTTAAAGCTCTCTTTTCTTTATCTGTGATGTTTCCAAACCACACAGACACAGAACCAACAAGTAAACTCTCAATGGTGCAGCAATAAAAGTTAAGCAGAATCTTAGAGTTATTGGTAAATTCTCTAAGTTTACGCAAAAAGTAGAGACGCTGACGAGCTTTCTTAACAACTCGGTCAGTGTTTTTAACCCATTTCAGGTCGTTAGACAGAGTTAAACCCAGAAACTTGCACTCCTCTACGATCTGCACCTGGGAGTTGTCGATTACGACAGGCAAATGAGAACTATTACGACTGAAGTCGTAGACCAGTTCACATGTTTTCGATGCGTTCAACTGGAGGTTGTTAGTTTTACTCCACTGAACCACATTTTGTATCTCTGCTCTATAAGAGGTTTCATCATTGTTACTGATGAGACCGATGATGGTGGTGTCATCAGCATATTTGATGATCAAGTTTGAGTCAGAGGAGGACACACAATCGTGAGTGTACAAAGTAAAAAGCAAGGGACTCAAAATACATCCCTGAGGAGAACCAGTGCTCATAGAAACAACATCAGAAAAACAGTCATTGATTTTTACTCTCTGAGATCTGTCAGTTAAAAAGCTAAAAATCCATTTACACATGGCAACACTTAACCCGAGAGACATGAGCTTTTCAATCAGTTTACCTGGGACAAGGCAGTTAAAAGCAGAGCTATAATCGATGAAAAGCATTCTCGCGACAGATTTACTAGTGTCCAAGTGACTGTAGACAGAGTTCAGAGCAAAGGAGATGGCATCCGCCACACTTCTGTTCTGTCTGTAAGCAACCTGGAGCGGGTCAACACTCACAGGGATCTGGCTCTTAATGAAGTCCAGCACAAGCCGCTCAAAAGTTTTCATAAGAACCGACGTGAGGGCCACAGGACGATAGAAACAAGACAGAAATTGCTCTGGAGCTAGTTCAGAACAAAGGCTACACTGTCGGTCACTACCCAAGGAGCCTGTACTGTCTGCGGGGAGAGTGGGCATGGTTGTAGATTATATCTGTGCCGGTTGTCCAAGGCCCTCTGGCAGAGAAGAGGGAATCTGTCCAAACAATTTGTGCCATAACTCTCTCAAGCCACAATGATGGTAATTGCAAGACCACTTTCCTCTGCAAGACGGAAAGTTGTAAGGGGCACCACTATTTCTTGTGTCCTAACCCACCAAGCAAAAACCTGTCCATGGGGAGTCTTAAGTCAAGCCCTATAGCATGCAGTGGGAAAAAATGCACAGAGGACCAAGAGGACTTCCTTTCCAGGCTGACCCCAGAGCTAGCACAACAATGCAGGAACGTTTTCTGCAACACAGCAGCCAGAACAGAGACAGTGACCTCCAAGAGTTTCCGGTCATCATGACAATCCAATGACAAGTTACAGCAAATTCTGGGAAAATGTCGGAACATTAATAGACCTAGCATCAGGCACTAACTACACTGTAAAAAAGAAAAAGTTAGTTCAACTCAAAATTTCAAAGCAACCAGCTGCGAAGGATTTTTGAGTTGAAGACATTAACTTAATTCTTCACGTTTTGAAGAACTACACTTATTAAGATGTGTCAGCTAAGTTTTCCAAGTTCTGCCAACTAAGTTTTTATATTCAAGTTACTGGAAATTTCAAGTTTGTAAAAACTTACTTTTTTAAGTTCAGATTACTGTCCCCTACAATAACTTACTATTTTGAGTTTAAATTAGCCCACACACTAAACCATCATGATGTTTATTTATGTAGCGCGTTTTACAGACCAAGGTCACTTGGGCAGGGGAGACTGGAGCACCCGGAGGAAACCTATGCAGACACAGAGAACAAGCAAATTCACTCAGAAAGGCCCTGTTCCGACCAGGGTTCGAACCCAGGACCTTCGTGTCAAGAAGCGAGAATGCTATCCAGTCAGCCACCGTGCCGCACATACTGTGAACTCGATTAGTGGGAAAACTAATGTTTCTAAGACTGACCCAGGGAATATATAGGGCTACTTTGGCTTGGCCCTGTCAATTACGGTTGGTAAAAATAAATACAATGATTTTTTTTGGTCTAATTCGTTTTTTCAAAATGTTGAATGCAGCTGGTTGCCATGACAAATATTTAAATGAGCAAACGCAGATAAGTTGAAATCACTCGAGCTCGGTGAACTGTAAAAACGACAACTCAAAATTGTTCACCTTACTCAGATTTTTGCATTCACTGACAATAAAATTTCCAGTTGGAACTGGAACTGTCTGTTGTGAGCCACTTGAACTCACTTTCAGAAGTTCACTACAACTTCAAAGTAAAATCAACTTAATATATCAAATAAGGTGAACTTTTCATCAGAAACTTCTGAAAGTGAGTTCAAGTGGCTCACAACAGACAGTTGCAGTTCCAACTGGCAATTTTACTGTCAGTGAATGCAAAAATCTGAGTAAGATGAACAATTTTGAGTTGTATTTTTTACAGTGTACATAACTCATGAGGCTGCAGATGAACTAAACTTAAAGAGTGAAGATTTGACACTTGTGGTTCAGAGAGTAGGTGGCATGCAGGCAACTGTGGAGACAAAACGCTATCTACTGAAGGTCTGACTTCCAAACAACACCTTAAGAGTCCACCATTTAGTTTGCTATGGGCTGGATCTTATTTCCGAACTCCACCACCATGTGTCACCCAATGGGCTGCATAAAATCTTTACAGATGTTCCCCTCCATGAGCAAGTCGGGCCAGCCTAGATAAAGTTGCTCATCAGCCACAGGGAAGGCCAGTGCTCAGCGGGGGACCTTGTGCTGTGGGACAACCCTTTGGGGAATTCTGTTGCCTGTTTTTTGCATCCAGATCTTGTGGAGGAAGTGGGCGTCATGGCTCATGCATCGAGCACTTTGCCCACTCCATGCGAACAGCTGCAACGCGATATCAAGAGCTGATCCTGAAATGTTCAAACCAGTTCAATCTAATTGTATTAGCCATCTTATCGCTCTTAATCCCCATTCAGTCCCGACTCCCATTTGCCTCGTCTAAAATAGCAGCCAAAAGTTCAACAGCCAGAGTTTGAATGACCTGCTTCTCAAAGGCCCAGATGTCCTGAATAGCATAAGGGCTGTCCTCATAAGGTTCAGGCAAAGTGTTTTTGGTGCCCTCTGTGACATCAAAAAGATGTGCAATTCCGTACCAATTCCATCTTCATCACTTCCAGGAGTATGCTATAACAAGAGTCAATGTTGGAGACAAGCCAGCTGGCTGTATCGCTCAAGTTAGAAGAGTCCTATGTTGACGACATACTCACCTCTCAAGATGACTTGAATCATCTGCAACAGATAACCACATTGGCAAAGGCTATACACAGAGGAGGCAGCCAGTAAGACTCGTTTGTGCGGACTTTAGATGGCCGCACGCGTCTTGTACGTTACTGTAATCCAATTACTTTTTCTGAGTAACGGTAGGGTATTACCTTCGCAAAAAAGTAATGTGATTATATTCACTTTCTTCTAATGAAGCAGCGTTACAATTTGTTACAAATGAATGAGGTATGAGAGATGGGACCACTGTTTACTGAATTATTGACATATCGGAATGTGCTATTTAAACAATTATTCTGCTAGTTTGGGGCAATTCATGCATTAATTGGGGCTAATTAATCATGCTAGATGTAATTGTTTTGTGGGTCAAATGTTAATGCTTAATGGTTTGGGTTTCTAATATTGGTTGTTTTCTGTGTTTTTCTAAAGGTTTTTTTTTTTTAACCTGCTATGCTTTGCTTCTGCTGCTTTCTACTTACTGATTATGCTACTTGCTGCATGTTCATAAAATAAACCTTAAAATAAAAATAAAAAATGTAAACTGATTTTTAAAATTCCTCTGCAAATCCTAAGGTACAACCCCCTTTCAGCGTGGGGGCAGTTGCCAATTAAGAAAAATGCTTGACAATAATTGACACTCATTATGGTTATAAGGTGCATATTTTCAAACATGGCTGAGGGCTGTAATGTTTAACAATAGTGTTTGTATGGACTACCTGTGAACGCATCATACTCTGCTACCGTACACGCGAGCCGACAAGTAGTACTGGTCCAGTAACAGCCGCAGCACCATCTTCTGCAGACTTGTCGGCTGTCACTCCATGATGCAAATCTCCTGTTCCACCACATCCCAAAGTTGCTCTATTGAGATTGAGATCTGATGACTGGGAGGCCATTACAGTACAGTGAAACGATTGTCACGTTCAAGAAACCAGTCTGTGATGATTTGAGCTTTGTGATAATGTGTTTTATCCTGCTGGAAGTAGCCATCAGAAGATGGGTACACTGTGGTCATAAAGGGAAGGACATGGCCCGCAACAATACTCAGGTGGGCTGTGCCGTGGCAACAATGCTCAATTGGTACTAAGGGACTCATAAAATAATTGTTGATACAAGGTAGGATGGATCCATGCTTACATGTTGTTGACTCCAAATTCTGACCCTATCATCCGAATGTCGCAGCAGAAATCGAAACTCATCAGACCAGGCAACTTTTTCCAATCTTTTACTATACCTTTGTTGTAACAAGTGGTTTTTTGAGTTATTGTTGCCATTCTATCACCAGTCTGGCCATTCACCTTCGACCTCCGGCATCAACAAAGCATTTTTGCCCAGTGAACTGCTGCTCACTGGATGTTTTCTCTTTTTCGAACCACTCTGTAAACCGTAGAGATGGTTGTGTGTGAAAATCTCAGTCGATAAGAAGATTCAGAAATACTCAGACCAGCCCGTCTGGCACCAACAACCATGCCAGGTTCAAAATCACTTTTTCTTCCCCATTCTGATGCTCGGTTTGAACTGCAGCAGATTGTCTTGACCATATCTACATGCCTAAATGCATTGACTTGCTGCCATGTGATCAGGAACTAGCATTGGGTAGGTGCACCTAATAAAGTGGCTTGTGAGTGTATGACCTGTAGCCAAAAGCATTCAATGATTGGGAATTCCCAAATGTTTGGAAAACTAGACTCTTGGATATGTGTTGTTTAACAGCAGTTGTGTTTGTTTGGTCCTAAGCTGCTCAGAAAGTGGTGGCTCAGCGGAAACAGGCGGCTCTTCAGGCCTGCAAGTCTCTGCCCAACTCTCCCAGTCACTCCGGAGGGTCCACACCAGGGTCAGCCTCTTTTCCTAGCCAGGTGAGCTCTCACACTGCTACTACACCACCTCCCAAATTGTGTAAGATGTGTGGAAGCATCCACACGTCTGCACGGCTGTTTTTTAAAGTATTAGCTTGTTCATGTATGAGCTGCGAATCTTTCAAAGGGTTAAAGACTTTTGGCCATTTGGACTTAAGACATAGACTCACACTTATATTTAGACTAACTTTATTGATCCCTTTGCTCAAACAGTGGCATTGTATTGCTACGACTGTAGCCAGAAGGTGTGTGTCTCTCTGCCTCTGTTGGGCATCATCTCATTCTCACAATGCCCATTTCTACCCCCTCACCTGCATCACCTCTCCCCCCTCACCTCCATCTCCTCTCCACCCACCTCCATGACCTCTCCACCACTCTCGCCCCGCTCCTCCATCACCTCTTTCCAATCATCTCCATCACCTCTCCTCCACCCCTCAGGTTAGTAACGGCCCCAGCCCCGGCTACACCTACTCACTCCCCTCCACTCCGGTGGTCAGTCACCGGGAGCTGAGGGTGGCTCCGGGGGAAGGGGCCACGTCAGTGCCCCGTTCACTCAAAAACATCCCTCGAAGACCCTCCCTCTTCAAGGTCAGTGTCACTCATCAGCTAACCCATCCTCTCACCCACCACATATCATCATGCAAAATTCATTCATTTTAACCATGTTCAAACATAGTTCCTCATCAAAAACAGACTTGAGTTGTTTTTGGCTCAATTCATGCTCATATCTGGAATCGGACTCTGCCTAAATGCTCTGTTTTCAAAGTTGTTATGCAATGCATTTGTCCGTTCTGTTTTTTCATACAGATAGCATTTTTTAAGTATCTAAATGAGTCCTAAGTATTTTCTTCTTCCAACACATTTACAGAGCACTAGGGAAAACATTTGCAACTCTTTCTTGAGCAAGATGCATATAAACCTGTGCACTGTCAGTTTCTGGTAAATCAAACCCTCTACTGTGAAACTATGTAAACATACTGATACAAGGCCAGCAGATGCATTTAAGAGAACGTAGAAAATGCTCATATAAGAAGTGTATGTAATTGGACTCCTATACAGTAGGTGACTCTCTTTTGGATCATTGTGGGGAAGTACACACTTCTTCTGGTGCTTAAATTGTGTTGCTGAAATGAAATGACTTGTGCTGCTGCAATTGAGTCTGTGTGAAAAAATTCTTAAGGTAAACAAGATGTTGCGTGATTACCTTTGCCAAAAGTGAATATATATACATATATATACACATTTTATTGCTGTCCCAAAGTTTGAGTAATAATCCAAAGTTGCGAGATGTCAACTGGACCAGACCAGAGAGGGCAGACTGAATTAGAAGTAAGGCCGAAAATAGCGTAATCTTATTCTTAGTAAGTGTAATCCCTTCGCCCTGTCGGTACTTATTTTCCAATAATGACCTGCGTACTATACGTTATCCCGCTTATTACACGGCTTTATACCAACAGAACACACAACATAAACTTCAGTCCACTTTTAGGAATGCGGAAAAGTTTATTTAAAATAAGAAAGAAAATAAAATAGTTCCTAAAGGCTTTCCCGTGGCTATGCTAGCAACAGTTAGGCTATCAACTTCCAAACTAGAACTCCCTGGAACTGCATGAAAACTGAACAAAGAATTGTGAACATCAGTGGTGAGTGACCCAAACATAAACCTAACCTAAATCCATAATTCGATCCTCTGCAAATGTGTCCTAAAATGTGCCGGTATCTACTTCCGGGTTTTTCGGGATCGCCTTTTCTCGCAGTGTTTTTGTTATGAAAACGTAAACGGAAAATTCTGAAAACTTCCGTGCACTTGTATTAAGAATGTATATGTATAATGTACTCTCCGATTAACATTTAATGGCGTTGATTGATTGGTATTTGCGTTTAATGTGCGTGGCTGGAACTACTTCCGGGTTTTTCATGATCGCTTTTTGACGCAGATACATAGTATTTTTGTCATGAAGACAAGAGCAGTAAATTCTGAAAATCTCCGTGCACGTGTGTGAAGAATGTATATGTATAAGTATTCTCGGATTAACATTTAAGTGTGTTGATTGGTATTTGCGTTTATTGAGCGTGGCTAGCTCCGGAGTGGCCGGAACTACTTGCGGAGTTATCCACGCATTTGAAAGACAAGCGCAGAGTGCGTTGCCATGGGCAGCGGTCATTATTGTTTTGAGAGGTCCGTTATAGAAAATAATGACCGGTAGAAAGTTTTGAGATTACATTCAAATCAATGGAGCATTCTACTGCTGCTGTGAGGAGCCGTGTAATAAGTAAAATATATGCAATGCTGAAGAAAAAAACATTGTGCAACTTCCTTGAGTGAATGAGAAGGAACAGCAGTATCATAATATGGTTTATAGTTGTAAAAAAATTCTTTCACACAATTTGTCAATTGCTCATATTAATTTCCCCCTATTGCTGTCTTTCTGCTGCTAACACTCCTCTGACTATGGCCACAGAATCGTGACCAGGAGAAGAAGTCCAGCGATGGCAAAGGAGACCTGAGCATAAACCGAGGCATTGCCCTCAAACAGGTATGTCAACAGAAAAAAATAGGACACAGGATTTAGCTCCCGCTCTGGGGCTTTCCACTTAGACATCTACAACACTTTTAATTAATTAGCATTTTAACAATGCAGTAACTTCTCAACAGATAGTAAGTGTTAAGTTTGGACCTCTTGGGCCAAAAGAATCAAATTAAATTTAGATTCAATTCAACAGCAGTCGAGTTTTTTCCCCCCCAACATTTTTACAGTATGAATTGAGCAAATGGGTAATGCAAGGTTCTTCTGATAAAATGGGTACTGGGGAATATCAGGGTCCCTGCCTGTTTGGTATGCACAAAAAGTTTTTTGTGCACAAAAAGTGTTTTGTTGCCATGGTGGAGACAGGCTTGAGCCCTGTGACCTCAGTGTGTTCGTCGCCACTGTAGTGAAGGTGTATAGGTGACAGCGGGCGTGGATGTGTGAACAGAGGTGTGAACAATCTGACTCTGGCTCTATACTTAAGCTGACACAAGCAGAACAGTGTCTATTAAAGGATCTATAAATATTCATCTGTGCGCTGCTGTTTTTATACTCTGAACACTTCTTTTCAGCCTCTGATGCTAAATATATCCTCCTCCTCGACTGATGACACAGTATGCACTGCTACTCTGACAATCCACATCAAACATTGTATACACATTAGGGCTATCAAAATTATCGCGTTAACACACGTTAATGAAAAGATTTAATTGATCGCGTTAAAAACATTAACGCATTTGACGCATGTACCGAATGACCCGCCCATGCATCCAATAATAAACACTCAGAATGCCGTGAACACATGCGTTTGATGGTGCCAGCAGGTAGGCCCTCTGGGAATTCAAGTTTGAAAATGATAAGCGCATGACCGTGGGGCACTTGCTGTTGTTTGCTACGAACTCAAAGGGACCTCCAGTGGTTTTGACAACTCACGGCGAACGGCGCCGCTGTTATGTGATTATATCCAAGACCATGCATACATGCACTGAACTATTCTCTGCCTGTTGTGTGCGTGTCTTTGGGTAACTTGTGCACTCAATAAATGTACCACTGAAGCTGGACTGAAGAGTCCGCGTCTCCTCCACTAAACTCGCTAAATTAAAGCTGGGGTACCTAATTTTCCCTTCCACTACCAGTTCATGTTCGTTGTGCCCAAAAGCTAGATGTTGTGAGCAACAGATTTAATGACATTCTGCATTTTAGACTTTGAAATGTCCCTCATCCCTGTTACAAACAATAGTTTTGGTCTGAGTCTACTACAGAAAGACAGTAAGTTAATAATGTTAAAGTAGTACTAGAATTTAATATGCTGCTATCCAGAATATATAACTACAATATGTGTTTATAATATTTCGGGTGTTCATTTTGACATGTTCAGATGAATTATGTAAAAAAAACTGCTTTGAAGTGGCACCTTTTAACAAACGCTAGGGGGAGCCAAAATGGCGGCGATGACGTAGGAGAATGACCTCTCACAGCAGAGGACAGCAGTCTGGGCTGAATCTGTAGGAGGTTTCACTGGCATCTGAACAAGGTATAAACATATTTTCATCAGTTTTGTACATAATAGTGTGCAACTCTTTTAACCTTTTAGCCTTATTTGTGAGATTCAAGCCAATTAGTGTTGAGCAAGTTAGCTAACTCTACTTGATATCATAAAACATGCTAACAAGGCTAATATTCGTTTTTACATTATGCCAGTCTCACTTTGGTTGCCTTAGATTTATTTACCACAATGTACATTGTAATATCCATAAATGCTAACACCTATTAACAATTTAATTAGCATTTTTATCAATGATTGCATCACATGTAGTCTATGTTTTCAACTTCTTCAGCTTTTTGTTCATAAAAGTAAAATATTTATTTAATTCAAGTTTTTGATTAGCATTTTTGAATATTACGATGTACACAATGTGCATTGTAAATAAATCTAAGGCAACCAAAGTGAGACTGGCATAATGTAAAAACGAATATTAGCCTTGTAAGCATGTTTTATGATATCAAGTAGAGTTAGCTAACTTGCCCAACACTAATTAGCTTGAATCTCACAAATAAGGCTAAAAGGTTAAAAGAGTTGCACACTATTATGTACAAAACTGATGAAAACGTTTATACCTTGTTCAGATGACAGTGAAACCTCCTACAGATTCCAGCTAAGACTGCTGTCCGCTGCTGTAAGATGTCATTCTCCTACGTCATCGCCGCCATTTTGGCGCCCCCTAGCGTTTCTATGCGGAAGTGAAAAGGTGCCACTCATGGATCTATTATAATAACTGGATAGGGTATTACTAGCTTGTAGCTGAATAACTCATGTGCTCAGGGGATTCTCGCGGTACTGCAGACTAAACCAGACTAAATTCACCGGGCTACCAAGAAATTTTCCCCATAGAAATCAATACATATTAAAACAGCTCGACCTCAGCTGACAGAGAACCTACAGCTTTCATAAAGGTTGGATTTTGTGGGGATTTTAGTGTACCTCGTCATCTTGAACTTTTTTTCTTCTTAAATCCTTCGGTTTTGTTTAAATCCACACTTTAGTGCCACAAACTCTGCTCGTCTGGCTCTCGCTCTAACTCCCGCTCTGATGAACTGCTCTGATTGGTCAGAGCGCAGCCGAGCCCCTCTGTGCACGTGCGTGAGACCCGGTGTGACCCACACACGCGTGTTTGGCGCAACGCACTATGGGAGATAATCCACTGCGCAGAACCGGGAGGACCAGACGATGCCCAAATACAGGCGAGTTTCCCATAGATCTTTGCGAGTTCCAGGCGACTTCCGCTAATCTTTAGCTAAGCTCAGCGCCACTGAGCGCAACCATTCATTTGAATAGGGCGCCATCTTGGATCGCCGGGGCTTGGTGCCACTTCAAAGCCGTTTTTTTAACATAATTAATCTGAACATGTCAAAATGAACACCCGAAATATTATTAACACATATTGTAGTTATATATTCTGGATTGCAGCATATTAAATTCTAGTACCACTTTAAGGCCATTTTATATGGATTTATTGTTGTTATAATAAGAAAATACAGTACATTTGTACATATGTCGTCATTTATCTTTCCATTCAAACCATTTACAGAAAAATATGGCATAATTTTGCCGATAGTTCGAAAAGCGATTCATTACGATTAATTAATTTTAGGCTGTAATTAGCTCGATTAAAATGTTTAATCTTTTGACAGCCCAAATACACATACATCCAAAAAGACATTAGGGAAATGTTCAGCTTGTCCAGGGAAAGGACAGAAAGCATGAATAGATACAATTTTATCAAACAAACAAACAACAACAAAGTAGGCAAAAAGAAAGATGTGAGAGTAAGTCCGAACGTGTTTCCAAAAAGAGAGGTATTGACATGCTTTTGAAGATTTCAGCCTGGCGTTCCTGGATCAATCCACATGTTTTGAGATCGTCTTTGTTAGAAAATAATTAGACCAGAGATGATATGTACTAAAAGATATCTAGAAATAATTATCACTGTGTCATGGTGTGGATTTTATTTTTGTATTTTTGTTTTATTTTGTAATTGGTTTTCCGTGGTTTTGTTTTAGTTTTGCTTCCTGTCTTGTTCCCCAGTCTTGATTGTCTGCCCCGCCCTGATGTGTTTCACTTGTGTCTCTGTGTCTATATGTACCCTGTGCTTCTCTCCCCTTGTTGCTAGTCCATTGTATTGTCAACGTCTTGTCGTTGTCTGTTCCTGTTTCCTTGATTCTTTTTGAGTTTTACCTGGACTTTTAGTTTATTATCATTAAATAATAATTTTTTGGCATTCCTTTGGCATTTTGGGTCCTTCCTGCATTTCCATCACGTGACACACTGTCTGGAAAAAAGAAAATCCAACAAATGTTTAAAAAAATAAATGCTTCTTTGTCATTGGTACCTGCCCTTCAACTGAGATATTGAGTGTAAACCCTATGAATCTAATCTAAAATCACGAGTAATGAATCGTATGTTCTGTAACTTGCCCCCGCCAAGTTGGACTACTCCTTTTATTAAATATTCCATTAATTTACATTGGGAAATTAAGTTAGGTTAAAGCTAATTTGCATTGTAAATGTTTTTCATTGTGAACTTTCTCTCCAGAGTATTTTGTACAAAAGAAGTGGGAGCTCACTGAACAAAGAGTGGAAGAAGAAATACGTGACTCTGTCCAACACTGGAACTCTGACCTATCACTCCAGCTCCAACGTAAGGACGCTGAACCCTCCATGTCCCTATCATATCACTTGCCATTCACTTAATGCTGGGGTGTCTAATTTTCAAACCACAAATTATTGAACTATGTAATGATCAATTCCATCCAGTTTTCACTTTAAAAACAGTTTGGTTCTAATGCTAGTTTTTAAATGCATGTATTTGACCTTTATCACATCTTTAGATCAGCTTTTTTTAGACAGAAACATGAAAAAGAGAGGACCACCCTCAATCAGCTTTCAGGCCAAAGAGCCTCTGCTTTCTACTAAGATAAAAACATGCTGTAAAATGTTATTTGTAAAAGACTCTTTTTATTTCTGTCTCTTTCTGGCTGTTTTCAGGACTACTCGCAGAACTCTCATGGGAAAGAGATTGACCTGCTGCGTGTCACCGTCAAAGTCCCAGGGAAACGGCCTCCACGCGCTGTGGCCCCGGCCGGACCCTCTGCAGCCTCCACCACTGTCCCAGGAGTGAACGGCAACAGTAAAGACACTACCGCTGAGGCTACGAGTACTGGTGAGAAGGGATGGACTCAGACTGAAGCAGGACTGAAGCAAAGACTGTTTGGTGTGGTGGGGATAACACTGCTTCTCTGAAACGGGAACATTTCTGAAAGTAAAGCAGAATACAGGCCCTCCTCCTGAAGGAGTTAGGTACATTAGCACAACATCCGGTTTCTCAGAAATGAAAAGACTATATAGTGAGACTGACCTCTTTCTCACAATCATATCTGCACAGGGCATCACAACATTAAAGTGATCCAAAAGTATTCAGTTTATTTTATTATTTTGGTAGTTAAGTTATAGCTACTTCAGTAAAAGTATACATATACAATACAATACAATGTATTATTGTATAGCCCTAAATCACAACAGCAGTCATCTCAGAAGACTTAACAAAACCATTGAAATCACCAACACAGATCAGAGAATAAACAGTTATGGCACAAAAATATGCGTATGTATTGCTCAATAGGGAGAGACCAATGTCCATGAATGTTAGACACTAACTGTCTGCATCAGCAAGGAAAAACAAAACAAAAAAAACGGTGGGAAAAAAAGTGAGAAACCTCGAGGAGATAACATTGAGAGAGGGATCCGCTCCCACGGACAGATGGGCTATAGACCCAGGACCTAAGCTAAGCTGTAGAACGAGGACCAGGGCCACGCAGCGGCTGCAGAACGTGGACAGGTCCGGTGCAGGACTGAAGCAACACCCAGGCGGGTCGGGCAGGGCAGTCCGCACGTGTAGATTCATAGGCAAGGTTCAGAGGTCCCGTCGTCGCGCAATAAAACAGACAATGGGATGGGTGAATAGCAATGAAAAGACTTCAGTCAAAATCCTAATAATGCAGACAGATAAAGTTGGAAGGAGGAGAGGATAGTGCTCACGTTACCATACTTCTCCCAGCCAAGCCCCTAAAAGCTCTTCCAAGAGGTTTTAGGGTACGCTGCCAGCAAAGCTTTTTTGATTCACATATATGAACACAAAGTAGTAGTAGCATTGAAGGTGTGATGATAATTTGGGTGATACACCATTCAACACTCAACTTTTGAAATTTTCTTGCACAGAGGTAATGTAACCTCAATTGAAACTAAACATAGAGGTCTATGGGACTTTAGTAGGTAGTCCACGTGAATTTAGTCTGCAGGACAGTACCACAGGCGCTCCCTGTGCCCATAGGTGGGACAGCTATAAGCTAGTAATACCCTATCCAGTTATTATTATAGATCCATGGACAAGGATCACTGCCAATGCCAAGAACAGGCCAATAAGAGTTTAAATAATGTGTATCTTCCCCCACATTTTAATTCTCCTTGTGCACTTTGGACATTATCTGAGCATCATAGCAGAACTTCAGTGAAAATACCACCAACATGGGGCATATAGTGCAGGCTTTTGCAGCATGTGTCCTGACCTGATCCTTGTGTGTCTGTGCCAGTTCCACAGTTGTGCCCCAACACTCTGTCCGTGGTGGATGATTGCACTGGCAGCCTTTCACCTGTGGGGAGCGACAGAGCACTGCTGCACTGCCCTCTGTCCCTGTCCACTAAAGCCCAGAGTGTGGGTGAGTATCTGTCTGGAGTGTGGATGTGACACACTACTGCACCTCACATGTGGAGGCATGCACAGACATACACACACACACACACACACACACACACACACACACACACACGCACATACACATAATAATTTAATATGTTATCAATTCATTAGTTAAAAGTTTTTCGGCGACAGTAGCTCAGTTGGTAGAGCATTGGCCTTTAGGCCTGAAGGTCGTGGGTTCAATTCCCACCATGATACCTTCTCCACCGACTCCCACTGATGACTGCTGTCGTTGTGTCCTTGGGCAAGACACTTAACCCCACTTTGCCCAAAGCCCCCACTGAAAAGATCAAGGCTATGCTCACACTCAGAGAGCAGCCGTCCTCCTGTGGACTCACCACCTGCAGAGGGTCAGTGAGGGGCTGGTGCTATGAGACTTGGGTGGCATCTCTGATTGCCACCCCCCCGACCCAGAAATGGATTAAGGGGTAGAAAATGGATGGATGGATGGATGGATAGTTAAAAGTTCTTAGAGAAGAGTACCAAAACTCTGAGATACAGATATACATTTGGGGCTGCAATTAATCACATCATAACTCTTCTCAGAGGAGTGTCCTGTCCTGGCAGTTTGTTGCCACGGATTAATTATATTATTCATCATCAGCTTGTATGTTCGACACAACCCCACAAGCAAGGACTCTGTTGTAAAACCATATTTCAATGATCCGAACAGGAGGTGAGAAGTATAGGAGAGAAGTATAGGTAGAAAACTGTAGCAGAGGTTGCGATTCTCCCCAGCTCTTTCACATGCGGCTGGAATTGAACACATACGCAGAGAGGCTAATGAAGTAGTATCTACCATTCTTAAGTAAGTAATTTTTATTTATATAGTGCATTTTACAGACCAAGGTCACCCAAAGCACTTTACAGTTGCTATACTATAAAGTTAAACTACAATATATATATATATATATATATATATATATATATATACATAATCGAGAAATGTAGCAGGATGGTGACTCGGGAGAGGTAGTCCACACAGAAGGGATCTCACTCCCAGAGGGAGCAATAGCAGACGTTGAGGACAGTTACAAGTATCTCGGTATACCACAGGCAAATGGCAACCTCGAACAGGTGACAAGGAAAGCGGCAACTGCCAAATACCTCCAGCGAGTAAGGCAGGTCCTAAGAAGCCTGCTCAATGGCAAGAACAAGGCCCGGGCAATTAACAGCTACGCCCTGCCAGTGATCAGATACCCTGCAGGAATAATCAGGTGGCCAAAGGAAGGGATTCAGACCACGGATGTTAAAACTCAAAAGCTCCTTACCATGCATGGAGGGTTCCATCCCAAATCCAGCACCCTGAGACTGTACGTAAGCTGTAAAGAAGGAGGCCGAGGACTAGTGAGTGTTAGAGCCACTGTCCAGGACGAAACATCCAAACTCCATAACTACATCATGGAGAAGGCCAAAACGGATGACGTACTCAGTGAATATCTCAGGCCACTTTTCAGTTTTTTATTTGTTAAAAAAGTTTAAATTATCGAATACATTTTGTTCCACTTCACGATTGTGTCCCACTTGTTGTTGATTCTTGACAACATTTTTAATTTTTATATCTTTATGTTTGAAGCCTGAAATGTTGAAAGGTTCAAGGGGGCCGAATACTTTCGCAAGGCACTGTATATATATATAAATATATATATATATATATATATATATATATATATATATATATATATATATATATATATATATATATGCATATGCAGACCAAAAGCTTGGACACACCTTCTCATTCAAAGAGTTGTTTATTTTTTTCAACACTGAAGGCATCAAAACTATGAATTAACTCATGTGGAATTATGTACGTACTAAAAAGAAATTTATTAAATTAATGAAAATATATCTTATATTCTCGGATCTTCAAAGTAGAACCTTTTGCTCTGATCACTGCTTCGCACACTCTTGGCTTTGTCTTGATGAGCTTTCAGTGACCTGAAATGGTCTTCCAACAGTCTTGAAGGAGTTCCCAGAGATGCTTAGCACTTGTTGGCCCTTTCACCTTCACTCTGTGGTTCAGCTCACCCCAAAACCATCTGGATTGGGTTCAGGTCCGGTGACTGTTGAGGCCAGGTCATCTGGCCCAGCACCCCACCACTCTCCTTGATGGTCAAATAGCTTGGGTGCGGATCTACATTCAATAGTCATGAAAAGAAAGGGCACTCATTGAATGAGAAAGTGTGTCCAAACTTTTGGTCTGTACTGTATATATATAGTCAACTTTATTCAACACGTTCATTCTCATTGTGCAAAAGTGTGTTGGAATTATGAAAAGATCAACTAAAGACCAATAGACTACTCTTATTGTTTTGTTCATTCATATTCAAATATTGTGTTGTGTGTGGGGAACTGTTACAAATCCCACCTGTTGTCCATGATAAGGGTGAGTTTGCCCAGAACATTCCTGTCCCTCACCTCCTCCAGAGAGTCCAGGGGGCAGCCCAGAGCGGAGCTGCTACGATTATATCTAATGCCCACTCAAACCTTTTAAGACTTGATTCGCTTTATATCCTCTCAAATAATTTTCAAGGTAACGCTCTGCACCTATAATGGACAAAACATATTCCATTGAGAAGCTCTCCCTAATTAAAGATTAGGAGGAAACGAAAAGTGAATGTGCATAAATTCCATACTTTGGAACGGCTTGACAGAGGATTAAAAAATCATTAAACGTTAAAATTTGATCAACGGCAATCAGCCTCAGCTGCTCAGTAACACACCTCTGCTCATCATCACTTCAAGGCTGTATATATATATATATTTTTTTTTACTTTGACTTAAGTTTTATTTCTTATATTTCTGCTCTTTTTACATGACCTAAAATGATCATCTTTGTTTTTATTGTGAATTTCTGAAAACAGATCAATTCTTACACATTAAGTATTTGTGTGACTTGAGTTACTTTGATTGTAAGTAATATATATATTTTTTATTTACAATATTTTTATTGGATTTTTCCTTTAAAACAAACAGAAAACACACAACAACAAAAAAACAGGCACAACAGGACAACATAGATTTAAAATAAAAAAGAGATAATACAATTTGGCATCTCTACACCCCCCACACCCCACTCCCTACATGAAATACACAGGAACCACTGACAAAATAAAAAATAAAAAGATAAAGTAAAGGTACACAGGTAGCAAATCCTTCAGTTGACTGGAAGTACCAGTTGGCTTGACATAGACCGATAAGACTGAATCAGAATAACCTTGTAATGGGGGAAGATAATATAGGCCCAATATATTTCAAGGATGAGTCCCAGACTTTATGGAAAGTGTCCAATGTCGAGTGAAGCATACATGTAATGTATTCATTCAGGATGGAGTCCATTATGAGTTTGTGCCATGACTTCTTTGTGGGAACGGAATCCTTTCCCCAAAGGAGCAATATGTTCTTCCTAGCAGTAAAAGTCAGTATTTTAAACAGCCTCTTCTGTTTGCTGTCTGTAATATGGATATCAGGGCGGCTCAAAATAAGGCACACAGGGTCCAGCAGTATTGGCTTGCGGAATATATTGGACAGTTCATTCACAATATCAGTCCAGTAGCGTTGTAACTTTACACAGGACCAAAAACAGAGAATATAATCGCCAATGTCAGTCTTACACTTCCAACACAATGGGGGGATGTTAGAGTCCATTTTGTTTTTTGAGCACAGGTGTATAGTGTACTCGATGTAAGATTCTAACCGCCCTGGCAAGGCGAAAATCAACGAATGGGTTGCTACCATGGGCTGGACTGAATGTTGAAGTTTCTGCGGGACAGTGCTACCAGGCAATATACCGGCAGTCATGTCAGATGATGTTAAATACTGCCGGGACAGGGCATCAGCATTGCCGTTGCTTCAGCCTGACCTGTACTTTATTTCAAAGTCAAACGAAGCAAGTTGGGCAGCCCACCGATGCTCAAGGGCGCCCATCTTGGCCGTTTGCAGGTAACTCAGCGGGTTGTTATCCGTAAACACCAAGCACTTTTGTCCCAGCAGGTACTCTCGAAATTTCTCAGTCAGGGCCCACTTGAGCGCAAGGAGTTCCAATTTCATGGAACTATAGTTGGTCATATTGCGTTCAGTGGGCCGAAGACCACGGCCAGCATAGGAAACCGGTCGTTTCCCACTCTCAGTTTCCTGGTAGAGTACGGCCCCGAGGCCGCTGTAGCTCGCATCCGTTTCTAAGATAAAGGGCTTGGAGAAGTCCGCATATGCCAGCACAGGAGCAGATACAAGCTTGGACTTTAAAGTCTCAAAGCTGTGTTCACATTCCGGGGTCCAGGCCTCAACCAGAGGTCTTCCTAACCTCCTTTTAGTCTTTGTGCCACCGATGGTTGCTACCAGCTTGTGAAGAGGTGCGGAATGTTTTGCAAACCCCTCCACAAAGTGACGATAATAGCTTGCAATCAAGCGTTGGAACGTGCTTGGAGCATTGCACAACCCGAAAGGCATTCAATTGAATTCAAAGAGGCCGAATGGTGTGCAGAACGCAGTCTTCGGCTTATCTTTTTCTGTCACAGGGACTTGGTTATACCCGCTGGCTAGATCGATGGTTGAGAACCAGCAGGCACCGGACAGTGCGTCCAGGCTCTCCTCGATGCGCGGCAAAGGAAAGGCATCCTTTCTGGTCCTGGCGTTCAGAAGGTGGTAGTCCACGCAGAGGCGCAGACAACCATCCTTCTTACGAACAAGGACGATGGGGGAGGCATAGGGACTGCTACCCTCCCTAATCACCTGTGCTTCTAGAAGCTGATTAATATGGGCCTTAACAGCCTTATATTCTGAAGGTGGAATACACCAGTAGCGTTGCCGGATAGGCACTTCGTCTAACAGAGGGATCTCATGAGTGATCAAATTCGTACACCCGAGGTCACCACTGTGTGCAGAAAATACCGTTTGGTACTTCTGGAGTAGATTGTGGACCGCTGCCTGTTCCTCTGGGTTGAGTGCTGACAAGTC